TCAAGGATGAAATTTCTGAGGTATGACAGGAGTCAGTGACAGCTATTCTCACGCTGTACAGTGATTTATTGCTCTGAATTAGCATATACGCTTATATAGCAATATGGATAGTAAAGATGGTTTCTATAAACATAATAAGAACAGTAGCTATTATCAAAATAAGATCTATATAGCTTGGCCACTGAAGGACTTTACTTGATTCTGTGACTGTGCCTTTTCAGTTTGATGCTAATGGATCCCCTTGTTGCCACAGTTGTTGTTCAGGCTGTCATCATAAGTGATGTTTGTGTTGGAAATAGCAGGAGAGTTTTCTATCGACTCTCTAATAATACATAAAGAACTGCAAACCAATCCATAATGAGCACTTATCCTTCTTCGCTTCCTTTTTTCCTCTAATGCTTCATGTCTTCTATCTGCTTGACAATTTTATTTTGAAGTTTAGAAATTCTGTTCCATTTAGCAGTTTGGCTTCCTGTTGGTGTAGTTTTTCTCTGCAAAGGAACAAGCATTCAGACTCTGAAAACTGAGGCATTCAGGATCCTGTTGAGATCCCTTAAATTACAGCAAAGATATCCCCAGAATATTCAAATGTATCCAATCCCTTACCAAATTGTAGTAATTATGTTCTCAGTTGCTTTAGTCCATATGTTAAATCTGTGCTCTGTTTATAGACAGGATGTATGTCTTCCTTCTCTTGTTTTGGTGGTGAATGGTAAAACAAAAGGCCATGGAGAACAGTTTCTGGTCATCCTGTGGCTTCAACAAGTGGTACTGGGTACCCTCCATCTGTAGCCTCCTGTGCCAATTTCTTAATCTTCAAAGTTTCTGATTTTAGAAGTGAAATTTTGAGTACACTGTATATTGCAAGATATGTCTTATTGAACTTCCCCTCCAAAAAAGTGATTAGAATGAAGCACAGTGTTTAAAGTGTGGTTTTAAAGCAGATGAGTCCATTCAGTTGAGCTAAACATTGTTTCTGAAACACCCAATACCTATATTTATGTTTCCTAGATTGGGGAGAAAAGTAAGAAATAAGAAAGAAAAAAGCAGCAGATTCAGCAGATCTTATCTCACTATTTCCCCCTTCTGTTTTCATTTGCACTTCTATTTCCATGCAATATTTCATTTCTTTATGCATCTATCACTGTTTGCTTCTGTCAGAAGTTCAAAGGCAGCATGCTTTCATAAAGGAGAGACAGTATTGACTGATCTATAATATCGTTTCTACCTTTTTTGACCAATCCTCAATGCATATTTTCAGTTTTGAAAAGCATTTCTTGAATCACTGGGTAGTTTGAAAAATCTATAGTGTAGGCTCATTACTTTATGGCTGCTGAATGTTTTCCATTGGTTGTGTTTGCAATGCAAAAATGTGGCCCTTTCTCTCAGGAAAAAGAGGTTAAAATTTCATATATACATAAATAATAAAACAACACAGGGAGGTGATATCAGTGTGATATATTTCATTCCCTATATACCTTTGACTGCCCTGCTGTCCATTAATCCACACAAACTTCCATCATATTCCAACCTCCTTAGCACCTTTAGTCTCATTTTTCTAGGTAGTCAGTCAAAAAACGCTTACTTGTCCCCTCTGAAATGTGGCACTCCCAGCCATCCACACAAATGTCACTGGCTGCAGGCCCAGGACAAGCAATATTCTGTTCTACACTAGTGATCATGGTTTAAGCTCATACCTCATGAGGCTGCAGAAGTGAGAGCTTTATACTTCCTAGTGAGCTCCTTGCCCCAGCAAGCAGAGAGGGATAAAATGGCTGAAGAAGGTAATTCCAGTGAGTCACTCTTGAGGAGACAGATCCAGGGCTTCACAAACCTCAGGATATAATGGAAAGGACAAAATGATGCAACTTTAACAGGAGTCACTTTGAGATTCGTTTTAAATTTTAACAAATATTTTCTCATGTTTAGCCATCTATAGAATCTTAGTAACTCAGATTCTTCATTTCAAAGGCATAAGGATATCAAAGTGGTCCTGATACAATTATCCTCTCCCCTCCATTCTATTTTAAGCACTTCTATCACCAATATTTTTCTGAAAAACACATACACATAGCATGATGGGAATGTATTTAAGCGCTTTCAGCACTCCTGCAGAGTGACACATAGAACTCACCTAGAGTTTAACTACTTATATCACACCAGATCCCTTTTCTTCTCACTCTTTTGTGAAGGGTAGTATATAAACAAAAGCTTCCTCTTTCTTACTTTGTTTAAAACTAGGCACAGATCTAAATCAGTTCTCTAGAACATTATCTTTTTTTTTTTTTCCCAGCAAAGGAGCCACACTGCTGTCAACGAGTCACAAAATAATTAAACATTTAAGACTGTCTGGGCTTTCATTCTGAGGAGGTGACAGGGCTAAAGCGTAGCTGCAGCTTCCAGTTTGGAGGCACTCTGTGTGCTGGCTGCATGTGCAAACACCCTGCCTTAGGGTGGGAAGGAGAGAGGGACAGCGAGGTTCAGAGCAGGGTTTGCTGGAGTCACACAGGGAGTAGACGGTGCACTCAGGGAAAATGTCCTGGCAAACAACCTCTGGATCATCAACACACCAGCCACTGCCCTCACCCTAACCCACACTGAATAGTTTGGCTACCAGTTGCTGAGGTGCACTGGCACAGAGGCTCCCCCACTCCAGCACTCAGTCCAGGCCAACCATAATGTGGAAAGGAGGTTTATAATTGTTCATTATATTAAGGTGTAAATTATGCTATGTTGTCTCTACATGAACTTCATGAGAAATCAGCCCCAGTTTGAAAGGGCTATTTTATATCTCCCTAAGGGAACCTCTGAAAGACAATCTGGGCTAAAATGCATTATAAAAAGGTAGTTATTTCATTCATCCAGACAGCTCAGGGGAAGTTGCTGTTTAAGCAGTTTTATTTAGGCATCAGTGAAAGGGCTCTGCTGCTCCAAGTCCATTGTCAGTTTTTAGAGGTTTGTCTCTATCTGCACCACTATTTCTTACAGGGATTTCTCACTCTACATGGATTTTTGTTATCATTAGCATCTTAGGTCCTCCTTAAGCTGCCACAAGCAGATTTTTATTCCATATGACTATTTTGTCAGCCTGTAGATACCAGAAAGGTGAAATTGAGAAGGGTAAATTGGAAGAGGAGACAATCCAGTCTCTTCCATGCAGATGAAAGGCTCTCCTCAGTCAGACTTTGCTATCGCTCTGCCATTTTTTTCTTCTGTGTCGGGGAAAGCAGCTGTTTATTTTTTAATCTGTCTTTACCCCAGCTCTAAGGAGGACTAGAAATGCATGTTCAGTATCCCTTGCATATAGAAAATAAATTGGTTGAAGCAGGAAGTCAGATGGACTTTAAGGAGTTTTCTGTATTGACTCGTTTCCAAGTTGATTAAATGCTTATAAGTTCAGCCTGTGCTCTTCTCCTTGCAAGTCTAACTACTGGGTATACAGATTCATATCTACATGTATACAGACTCTAACAGTGTTAAAAAAACAAACCTCCAGATAGCTAGAACTATTAGTTCATAGGAATTTTAAATTAAATTAAATAGCTGGGCTGTTTTCCAGACGCTTTCTAAAGTTCCCATGCTTACACAAAAACCTCCGTAGGATTTACATTACACTACTGTATTTGTTTCAGTGAGCATTTGACTGCCAAGAATACGGTCTATGACCAACATGGCAATCTAATTAAATATTTGACGATCAGAAAGCTGGACATTATTCAAGTCAAGCATTAAATTAGAAAATTTAGTTTGTCTCCTTTATCAGTAGATTTTTAAATCAGCCTATTCTACCAAAACCCATAAGTTTAATGAATTTGGTCAGACATACTGTGTAACAGATGTCTAACACACAGCCATGAGCCTAAATCACAAAAATGATACTTCACTTAGGCATGGTAAAATATATTAGAAAGGCGCAGAAAGGTCAGTCACCAGCAACCTGCTTCCTGGTATTTGAGAAACAGCACTGTAAAATGCATGCATGAGCTGCCTTTTGTAGTCTCTTGCAGGAAACCTTGGAGAGCCACAGATAATTTTCTTTCAATGATTCATCAAGTTGGCCCTTTGTTTCACTAATTTGAGTGTCAAGTGCAACCACATAATAAAGAATTACCAAGACCTGATAAGATTCTTCTTATATTGCTCCGTTTGTCTTAACAACTGGTACTATTGAAACCAAACTCACAAACTGAATAAATAGCAAGCATGTGTGCAATATGGCATTCTTCTGTGAAATGATAAAGCGTGTTTACTGCTCTATCTGCTGAGGTACCATACATTCTTGTTTCTTTTTTACTTTCTTAAAAGGCACTAAATGCTGCGTGCTGTGCCCATGCTAGAGATGGCATTTGTTTCACTGTTAGTCCTCCAGTGAATTAGTAAAGATAAAAAATGGATTTCAGTGACAATTCCAGCCTTGAGAAAGCTGCTACTGTGACCATGGTTGAGTTACCCTGCTGATAGTTTTCTCCTTAATGTAATTTTTAATGCTATATAGCTGTGGGTTAGATGTGAAGCCATATATTAGAACTATTATTTCCATGAGTAGTTTCAAGTGAAATAACTTCATGATTAGGAGATAGATTATTTTTAAAATTCTGTCACTCTAAGAACTTTGTAAGAGATCAACCTTAAAATGGCTTGTTTAGAAGGGGTATATTTGTAAACGTGGAATTCCCAGAGCAAAAAGTCTACGTATTATGAGGTCTGCTAACAAAGTTTTCACAACTGAACTGAACACCATTAACACAAACATAAAATAGTAAAGAAGTTTAGAAGGCTGCTTGTGAGACTGGGAAAATGTCCGCCTTCAGAAACCAGAGATGGCATGGGGAACAAGTCTGTCAGATTTGCTTTAGAAAACGAAGAAAGCTTCTGTCAAAAGGGTTTGAAGCCGGTTGTTAGAGCTCGGGAGAGGTTGTGTGAGAGGGTGTTGTCAGCGCCGCGCAAGGAGTTTGAGGGCGTCGATATTTTTTTTTTTTTTTTTACTAATGTGGATTTAAAGTATTGCCTGAACGCCGCCAGCTCCAGGAAACCCGGCTAGCGGTGGGAGATCGGGAAAATTTCCCGCTGGGAAAAACACAAATAACGTGCCGTGAGGGTCGTGCCCCGGTGCCAGGGGCAGGACAGAGGCCTGGGCAGGCGGAGGGAAGGAGGGAAGGAGCCCCTGCCCGGTGCCCGCCGGCGGAGCAGCGGCGGAGCGGGAGGCAGAAGTTTTAACTTCCACCTGCCCTGAAGTCGCCGCTGCGCCGGCAGCAGGAGGCGGAGGCGGGGGCGGAGGCAGGCGGGGCAGCCGAGGACCCGGCTCTGGCAGGCTCCGAGGGTCCGGCCGGGTGTAATTCCCCCCTAATCCCCGCCACGGCGGCGCTTCCCTGGCCGAGCCATGTCTGCGGCTTCCCCGCCATGCCGAGCCTAGCGGGGAGCGGGAGGACTGGCGGCCGGGAGGCGCACAAAATGAAGACCCTGATGGTAAGTGCATTGTTGGCACTGCTCATCCCGGCTCCGGCGGCGGGGAGGGGACGAGAGGAGAGGAGAGAGGCGCGGGGCTGCCCCGGGCACCCTGCACACGCTCCATCCTTCCCCGGCTCTTCGGGATCGCGCGGAGGCCACCAAAACCTCGGCGGCGGCGGCGGCCAAGAACTTTCCGCCTGCTTTCTTTTATTCGTGTTTGCTCGTGGTTTGCGGGGTTCTGCGTGTGTGTGTGTGCGTTTTAAGGAGCGTATAGAAAACCGATCTGCTTAAAGGACGATGCTGGAGGTATCTGGGCGGAGGGAAGCGCTACAGTCCCCAACACTCCTTAAAATCCACGAATCGAGATGCCCAGAGGGGGACGGCGGCTCGGGGATGAGGCGCGGGGGAGCCGGGCGCTCGGAGGGGAGGAGAGGCGAGGGAGCAGGGCTGGTGGAGAGGGTGGCAGGCAGGGGAGCGGGCTGGGCGAGGGAGGGGGTTCCCCAGTTCTGCCGCACTTTTGCCGGGTCTCTGGCGGGTGAAACTTGCGGGTGCGCCGGCGGGGGAGCGGCGATCCCCGCTGGGCCCCGCGGCGCGGGCAGCCCGCTGAGCCGGCTGTGTCTCTGCCCCCCGCAGCGCCACGGGCTGGCCGTCTGCCTGGCGCTCACCACCATGTGCACCAGCTTGTTGCTCATGTACGGCGGCATCGGCGGCATCGGCGGGGGCCACCCGGAGCCGCGGCGGCGGCAGCAGCAGGTGGCGGCGGTGCCCAGCCGGCCCCCCGAGCGCGGCCAGCGCCACCCGGCTCTGCCCGTCGGGGCCGGCCTCCTGGAGGGATACATCAGCGTCCTGGAGCACAAGGTGAGCCGCCGGCCGCGGGACCTCCCCTCTCTCCCGGCCCCCGCGGGGGGAACCTGCCGAGCTGTCCCTGGTGCCCCCCGGAGATGCCCGGGTCTCCCCTGGGCGGGATCGCCGTGCCCCCGCTGTCAGGGCTGGCTAATGAAGCCCTCGGGTGCCGTCGCGCCTGGCCCCGAGGGCACGACTTAGCGGGGTCAGGACCCGGTGTGAGCCTGCGGTTGGGCATTTGTGCGGTGCTGGTTGTCTTCTCCCTTGCGCAGGGGAAGAGGGAGGGTGAAGTGTTTTGTTTCTGGTGTTGGATGCTGTAGCTACAATACAAATGTGCGTTTATGGTGATAGTCATAAGGGTTAAAGAATGAAGTTTATTTACTGGAAGGGAAGGTCAGTAGGTAGGTGTTTATTCTTAGCTCGTTTTGTCATGGGAAACCAAAAAGAATGTCTCCTGCACAAATGACCTTTTCATCCTCCTCCTGGGAAGCAGAAGTTGCCAACCATAGTTACCATTATAGAAATTGGGGGGCATTTCTTTAATGCTGAACAAAATTATGTCCCTCCCCTCGACAGAGGAATTACCAGGCTGGATTGTCAGACTGTAATACCTGTTTACCAGAGACAGGCAGACTAAGCTTTGATAGCTGGCAGAGCAGATGTAGTGACATAAAGTGAGCAAGGTGGCACATCCATTCTGAAGAGATAGTTGATCTTCAGGAATTTTCTCAGAAGGCAGATTCCTCTACTTTTGTGCTGTGTTCGGAAACTCCAAGGTCTCCCTCTGCCAAAACCCCAGATAATGTCTAGTACACGCACATCTTGCAGTAAAAATTTTCAATAAAAAATAAGCAAGGGAAGTGCGGATTCTTAACTTTCTCATGTTTTCACATCCAGACTGACAACTTTCTGAAAGATAGGTTGTCAAACACGTTACTGGGCTCAGTTTAAAGGTACTGTGTGAAGACTAGTGACTTTGATATACAGAGATTTTTATTGTTCCTCCTGGCATCACTTTCTATGCAAGAGTTATCTGTAGGGCTCTTAACACAGAAAAATAGCACATGCTGGTGCCTTGTGGGCTTTATTTGCTTTCTTACTTGGTTTGCCTGGAAATTCTCAAATGTAATGTCTATAGATAAAGCAAGTTTGGCCACGGGCTTCCTACTGTGTGAGATGTCCCCTTGTAATTCCTTCATTCTTCTTTAACATAACTGTAGTGATAAGTGTAGATATATATGCACATGATTTCTGTAAACAGCAGTAATTGAAAAGGCATCTGTGGATTTTTAGGATGCATAACTGAGTAGCCCTCTGACACTGATAACTTACATTGGTTTCTCCTGACTTACAAACACCCCTCATTAACAGACCATACTCAAAATCACTATTCTGTGTTTATTGTTTTCCAGGGTAATTTTAATGTTTCCCAGTGTTTTGGAGAAAGATGGTTCTCTGGCTTTTTAATATATTGTAATGTGGCCTGAACCCCACAGATACTCCATTTCTGAGTTTCATTTCACACAGCTCATGCCTCACAGTAATAATCTGCTGAAGGTTTAATAACTTTTTCACATAACTTCTGTGGGTCAAAAAGAATATTGCACAATCCCTACTGTGTTCCCAGCTTGCTTTGTCTTATTTTAATGCACATGAGATCATGCAGAGAGCTCTGCCACTGTGGTATACAGAGCAGTGAGGGCACTGTATTAACATAAGGGAATGATGGGGGAGAGAAGGGCTTTGACTCTTGATAGTGTATTTGTTTTAGTAATTTCATTTAGTAATCCATGTACTTGACATGGATTTACAATCCCAGAACGTAGAGTTTTCCTGCAGAATAAAAAAAAATGGAGAATGCAAAAGATCACAGGCATTGATGGTTTGGAAGAAGAAGGATGCAGGATCGTTTATGGTGAGAATGGGGAGAGAGATTGCAAGAACTGAGAAATGATGGAGCATTTTCAGAGAACATGTGTTTTGGGTGGAACACTGGAAACTGCAGAGAAGACAGCTTGAGTAGCAGGTATCATAAAAGTCCAGCCCATAGTGAGACACCATGAGGGAATCAGGGAGGTTTAAGGAACATAAAGAGAGTAAGATAAAATTCTGTAGCTGTGAGAAGGATGTGAAGAGACAGGGAGGGAGGTCTGGAAGGAGATGAAGAGCACCTGTTGTTTGAGGACAACAGGCTTGGAAAGGTAAGGGGGGAATGACTTCAGCAATGGTCCATGCTGTTTTGATAGCACAGAGGTGACGGTGTGAAATGACAGTGAATGGTAGATTTTTTTCACAGTACAGCCTCCTTCATTTCCCATGTAGAATCTTGGGATTTTCTGTCTGATTGAATGACCTGAAGCTGAATGACCATTACACAAAATTCATCCTTGGTATGTGTTCATGCGTGAGTGACAGTTGCCAGTAGGATAAATGTCTAGATCTACAGATCTAGGAGCTGAAACATGTTCTTGTTTCAGGATCTCATAGTTTGCTTTCATACAGAAATCTTATTTCATGTTTGTGGTGTTGCACCCAAATGTTGTGCATTTAATGAGAGTAAGTATTCAGTGCTATATGAAAGCTACAAGTATTATAGAACTCAGTATTACTCCATAATCACAGTGTGAGGATTGACACTTACAGAAGCTGTGTAAATATGTGGCAGTATAGACATTTCTCTTCAGGAATAAAATTTAACAGTTGTCCACACTGTGAAATATCATGTATTACAAATGTCTGTCACTACTAGCAATGCAGCTCATTTAGTAGTGCTGGATGATCGTGTGTGGAGACTATTTACCAGAAAATCAAGGCACTTAGTAAAGTACCAATGATTTTGAAATATAGCTTGCAATATTGTAATTACCAATTATTTTTCTCTTTTTATATCATATTCAGTAAGAATTATAGTTTCTCATCTATCCTGTCAAGAGAAGCAGGCAGTCTCTGAGAAAACAGCAAAATACCTAACATTCTTTTTTTACTGGATTGAAGAGATTTTTTTTTTGCAGGAGTTTCTCGTCTCTTGGTCAGGTTTGTAATGTTTTGTTTCCTAGCGCTTTGCCTTCGTGGTTTCTGTAAGCCCATTTTTCTGTGAGTCAAGCATCAGAGATCAGAACCCATTTACTTAGCTTCAGTTGCCTGTCACAGTTTAGCAGCGCACACTTAATTTTTGTTGAATTGAACTCTTAAAACAAACAAGCTCAGAGATGTCGTGGATCCAGAGGCGCAAGTGGGTTCTTGTCATTTCTCCTCTGTGTGTCCCAGAGCAGCAGCAGTTGACAGTCATTGTTGATGGATGTTTGAAACGAATAAATAGGATGTTTTTTTTGTTCCCAGTAGCCAGATGTTGCATCCTAGAAGATCTCACATTTGGAACAGAAAATATGGTTTGCTGATAGTTACTGTTGAGAGGTCAAGGACTGAAATGAAGTGGAGAAGCAGCAGCTTCCCTTCTACTTGGAGGAGCTGTTGCTTCCTACAGAGGCACATTGACGGGGTGTAGCACTGCATCTGTTCTGCAGTTAGAAAGGACAGGAGTCCTAGACTGTCAGACTGACATCTTTCCTAAATTCTTTGTGTGTAATCCTGAAATTAAAGAGGTTTTGTCACTGGCATCGAGGGAAGCAGAATTCTGCTCCTCAGTGGGCAGGTGTGGGGATAAGCCTTTCTGTTGATTTGTCGCAGTGCTTGCAAGAAATTACAATGCTAATATTTTTAAAGCAATTACTGCATACAAATAACAGACTGTTAATGAAAGTAGGAAACCTAGCACTGTTCCAGAACTTGCAAGAAATAAATATTTAACCATTATATTACTATTCTGAAATGAATGTAAGAACATATCTCTGGACAGTTAAAAAGCTTTTTACCCAGTATTGACTCAACAGTTGGTACTGCAAATAAAATATCAGTTTGTCACATATGTAATTGAATGGTATTTGAAGCCATCAAGAATTCAGTTTCTTATAAAATTGTTTTAAAAAATCAAAATCAATCTTTCAGACCAAGTGCATAATCTATTAGAGCAACATTTAAGTACCTTAAAAGAGCATTGAGATCAACATGGTAATTTAAGTGATCACAATGATTTCTTAATTTATGATAATGTGAATTATCATATGCAAAGAAATCTTTGTGATCCCTTTAAATTAATGCAGATCAGAGAACTGTGTAGTTAATGAAGTGTTTGAGGAAGAGCCATTCTGCAAATAGTGCTATAGCTCCTTAATCTCTGAGACGCAAAAAGTTGCTCTCGGAGGAAAATATTTTTTCCAGGATAGTAAACTTTGTGCATTTCAAATAGGATGGAAGTCTTGCCATGTTTTATATTATTTTTAGTAAGTATTAAATCAAAAGTATCTTACAGCAAAACAACTTGTCTTGCCTGAGGTGGGATCAAGCCCACTGAGTTAAATAAACCACGTACCATGATTTTGTTACATGTTCCTGTTTGCTCCTGGAATTCTTACCTGCAAAGGAAGGAACACAAACTTTATTATGCAATTAAGTATTTGATGGAGCTTTTATTATGTGAGAGATCCACAAGGGGGAGACTTTATTCTAGAATAACCTTGTTTGGGACACTTCCATCTGTCAGAGACCTGTGCAAGGTGAGAGTCCACAAAAGCCCCGTGCTCCATGTTTTGTTGGCTTCTTGGCTTTCTATTTTAAGGTACTGTAGTCACCTTTTACTCTGATAAGCTGTAGGTTTATTTAAACCCTTATAAAGTTCACAGCTTAAAGAAAAAAAAAAGGACCATGACAGTCAGGGAATGTGACTGAATATCCAGACGTTCAGAGCAGAGACAATTATTTTACCAGATTTACCCAACTTTTGAAAAATGACTGTTCTGTGCTTTATATTTTCTTACTTCTGAGCTATTGCTTTTTCAGCCTAACAGATCATAATGTTGGGTTCATTCATTTTGATGACCCTTGTCTGAAGTTTTTGGCAGTGTCTGTGTGTACTAGGTGCTAACACGTGGTGTGCAATACAGAGTGCTCAGCAATGG